TTGTCTTTATTTCGCTCAGCATAATACCCTCCAGTTCCATCCACATCAATGTAAATGGTAAATATTCATCCTTTCTGATGGCAGAGTAATATTCCATTGTGTATATATACCACATCTTCTTTATCCATTCATCTGTCGATGGACATCTGGGCTCTTTCCACAGTTTGGCTATTGTGGACATTGCTGCTATGAACACTGGGGTGAAGGTGCCCCTTCAGATCACTACAGTTGGGGTAGCAATCCTCATATCAGACAAATTACATTTTAAACTAAGACTACTAAAGTAGTAGGAATGAAGAGGGATACTATATCATACTTAGGGTCTATCCAACAAGAAGATCTAACAATTATAAATATGCTAACTTGGGAGCAGCCAATTATATAAACCAATTAATAACAAAATTAAAGAAACACATTGATAATAATACAATAATAATAGTAGGGGACTTCAACACCTTCTACAGCAATGGATAGATCATCTAAGCAGAAGATCAATAAGGAAACAAGAGCTTTGAAAGACACACTGGACCAGATGGACTTAACAGATATACACAGAGCATTCCATCCTAAAGCAACAGAATACACATTCTTCTCAAGTGCACATGGAACATTCTCCAGAATAGATCACATACTGGTCACAAATCAGGTCTCAACCGGTACCAAAAGACTGGGATTATTTCCTGCATATTTTCAGACCACAGTGCTTTGAAACTTGAACTCAATCACAAGAGGAAGTTTGGAAGGAACTCCAACACTTGGAGGTTAAAGAGCATCCTACTAAAGAATTAATGGGTTAACCAGGAAACTAAAGAAGAATAAAAATATTCATGGAAACAAATAAAAACGAAAACACAACTGTTCAAAACCTTTGGGATACAGCAAAGGTGGTCCTAAGAGGGAAGTATATAGTAATACAAGCCTTTCTCAAAAAATTAGAAAAGTCTCAAAAACATAAGCTAACCTTACACCTAAAGGAGCTGGAGAAAGAAGAGCATCTAATTTTCAAAGAATGGAAGCATCCATAAAAGAAAGGAATGAAGGGGGGAGCACGTGGGTGGCTCAGTCAGCTAAGTGTCCAACTCTTGATTTTGCCTCGGGGTCATGATTTCAGGGTCATGAGATGAAGCCCTGCAGATGCAGACAGGCTCTGCACTCAACAGGGAGTCTGCTTGAGATTCTCTCTCCAGCTCCCTCTGCCCCTCCCCTGTTCCCCCCTCTCTCTCTCACTCTCTTTCTTTCTCTCTCTTTCTCAAATAAATAAATAAATCCTTAAAAAAAATAAAGGAATGAAGGAAGGGAAGGAAGGGAAAGGATGAAAAGAGTAAATGTAAAAATAGGGGTAAAAGGAACAGACATTAACCATGGTTAACCCTGGGTGAAATGAATATAAATGACCTTTATTTTCTTCATTTTGATTAGCTGTATTTCTTAAATTTTCTCATTGTGTGTTTTCCATTGCCCAGTTCCCACTATAAATGCTTTAAGGGAAAATAATTTCCCAGCCTCCAAAGCAATGCCAGGTTTGCTAGGATTACAAAGGTTTAACGTTGAAAGTTCTTATTTTAATTTCTAGTATGCAAATCTTGCCCTCTAGGAATTCATTCTCTTTCACCTTTGAGTATTATCATTTATTGCACTTAAAGGTGCACCTGAGAAAGAAGCAATTTAATTAGAAAGAAAGAGAGAGGAAGGAAAGAAATGTCCTTACTTAAGCCATCAACACATTTTGAAAAATAAAAAATGACAAGATAAAATATTAAGAAAAGTAAGCATTGCCCAATCCAAGCATATTTAAATTCTGTAATATTAGAAGTCACCTACTATTCACTGGATAGATAAATCAACTTTTCAATCAAAGTGGCTTATTTTACAGATGAATTCCCTGACTCTATAAACTTTCCCATCACTTAAACATTTCACTAAATCCTCCTTCCATGAGGAACTTTCCAGATTGGTCAGAAAAAAAAATGTGACAATACTATCTTTTTTCCCTTTTGAACAATATCATTTTTTTCTCTAACTCTAATAGACTGTACCAAGGAGGAACACTTTTTGGCTGCTAGTAACAGGAAACTGTATTTAAATCTGTGCTTAAATCATAGGAATATATTACCTCACTCAACCAGTAGTCTGGAGGTAGATGGTTCCAGGGTTCTTTCAGGGGCTTATCGATATCATCAAGACCCAGACACTTCTCACACTCCCATGCCATCGTCCTTGGCATGTTGGTTTTTATTCCCGTGCCTGTTGCCTCAGTTTTGCAAAATGGCTGCTGCAACACCAGACATTACATCCTCATGCTATGCTTAAATGTAAGAATCAAGGGCATAGCAAAAGATGGTCTTCTCTCAGAAGGCTCTGTCCTTTATCCAGGGAAGAAACATTTCCAGAAGTCTTCCTTATGGCCCCAAAAGTCAGAACTGGATCATACGGGTACTCCTAGTTACAAGGGAGGCTGTGAAAGTATCTCCTTTTTAAGCCCTCCTCCTTGATCCAGTATCTTCATCTGTAATGGGATATCACTTGAATGACTTGTCCTGTCCTCCCCTCCCAGGGGGTGGCCTGCCTCTGTTCCAGTCCTGGTGCTCTGACTGGAAGTTTACTCTCTAAAACTAATTGCAATAAATACGTGAAGTTGTCTCACTTCCAAATACACACTGTTGTGCCTATCACTTAAAAATCCAAGAATGCTAAATTTAGAAATTAAAGATATAAAGTATTCATATTTTATCGTAGTTCAGGCATTGAAATACTCTATAAAAATGTCTTTCCACTAATTCTACATTGTAAGTTATTTGAGGTAGTCATCATGTCTTTCACTATTTTTTATGCTTCAGAAAGTCCTCAGAACAAAGATGCTCAGATGTCAGTTGCTCTATACCCACTCCTTAAGGGGAGTTACTCATGACCTAAAGGAACATCAAAATAGTGCTTTGAAAAGGAAGAGCATCCTGGAAGACGAAGCAGTTTGTACCTCTGCTTTCATTAGTGAAAATGACCTTATGCCAATGCCTTTCTACCCAACCAATGAAAAGTACACATATGTTCCCAGGAGCAAAAAGCCCCCTGAACCCTTGCGGAAATCACTGGTTCACTTCCCTTGCGGCTCAGGGCTGGATTTGTACTCCCCGGGTGGAGTGCCTGTCCACTGGACTTCCAGAGCTGAGGGAAGGAAATCCACATCCTCACTTATTTTAAGAGACCAAGACTGTCAGGGGGCGGTCTAACGTGCTAGTGAACACCGTGGGAGCAGGATCAGACCTCCTGGGTTCAAATCCGACTCTGTTAACCAGGCGTGCAACTTTGAGCAACCATTTAGCTTTCAGCGCTAGGGTCTCCTCGCCCATCAAGTGAGGAAAACAACAGCACCTACGTCCTAGGGCTCCTGCGAGGAGTAGACGAGTTAACCCCCAGAAAGCGCTGGAAACAGCGCCTGGCTGGCACACAGCGAACCGTTAATATTCCGCCTTTCGACTTAGAGTGCCTGCAACTCTGCAACATTTTGCCTGGGAATTACAGCTCCTGGGAATTACAAAACTGGAATCCTGGGAGCTGAGTGGCCATGGCTAGGGACCCGGAGAGGAAGGGAGAAAAGAAAACGGGGCAGGGGCAGGGGCAGAGAGAGAGCTGGGGCGACATTTACGCAGCGGCGCCCACCTACATACAGCCTCGGTCACCTGGTCTACCGTCTCCTCTACCGTTTCTTCTTGGAGAAGGAGTCGGACCGGCGAGCGGCGCAGCACGGCGTTTCTCCAATCAGACACCCCAGGCTGGCGCCACGTACGCGACCTGATCCAATCTCGTCCCCAGGAGGGCGGGAACGCGAAGTTCCTACCTGCACCTGTGGCAGCTGTGGCCGCCTCCTCGGTTGTTTGTTGTTGGGTTTTTTTGTTGTTTTTTTTTCCCCCCATCTGACCCGGGGTTCTGGTTTCTCGAATCACTTGGCGAATAACCAGCAGGTGGGCAGAAAGATCTCTTTTCCAGTGCAGAGGACCGACGTGTAGGCAGGTTCAATGCAGCAGAGTGAGCAGCCGAGGTCCCATGTCCCCGCGGCTGCCGGGAAGAGGCGCTAGCAGGGAAGAGGGACGCGCGCGAGAATGAAAGGCTTACTAACCCGGAGAGCCTGCCTGGGTACTTACCTGGGGCAGTGAGCCTGGCACCTGTTCGCCGGGCGCCCTCCGGCCGGAGCCGAACTCGCCGCGAGCCCAGAACTGCCGCCACGCTGCGGCGGGCAGAAGCTGGAGGCGCCCGGGGAGACCAACAACAGCAATCGGCTTAGCTGGACTGCAGAGATTTCGGCTGACCCACCTTCCAGAAAGAAGCCCGACCTCCCCAAGACTGCGCGGGAGGGACGCTGCGCCCGGCTTCCAGGTTGTCCCAAGTGCACCCCCTCCGTTCTCTTGGAGGCGAGGGCGACGCGGAGTCGTGGGATCCTGGGAAGCCCGAACAGGTGAGCGATTAAGATTATTCTGCGTCCGCCGAAACAGAGCCCATTCCCGGGAAATTGCGAGCCGCAGGCGCTCCGCGTACATTTGCGTAATTTGCAGTCTTTTCCTTGCGCAATTAGTGCAAAGCGTTTCCGCGCACACAGTTGGTTGTGAAAAAGAGAATGTAGGGTGGAAGGCAGAAGGCAGCCATCAGGACACCCCCACCACCAATGAATAATTTGGGGGTGCTTCTCCGATCTGTACAATAGAGGGAGCAGGATGTTTGCAAACCCAGCTGCCAACTGTGCCTGGTGGTTGTGGGTGCCTTTTTACGGGAAGAACTTTTGGCGGTTTTATCTTCTATTGTTTTCAAGTCGCAGCCCGAGTGTGCCCTCGGGGCGTCTGGGGAGGAGCCGGGGTCCAGGTTTCTGCGGCGGAGGCCGCCGCGCCGCCTCGCGTAGGCGCTCCAACTTTCCCAGCGGTTCCGGGAGCGGAGCCTCCAACAACAAACACCTCTGAAGTTTCGCTCCTCGGCGCGCGGGCAAATCCCGGGAGCGCCAGGCGCGTGGGATGGGAAGGAGCCCAGAGGAAACCTGGAACTGCTCCGCGGCACCAGCGAATCCTGCGCATTCGTAGAGTTAGCGCCCATAGACCCAGCACAGAAAGTGTTCACAGGACACTCGCTTCCGATATTAGCACCTTCAGGGTCAAGAAACAGCCTTTTCGCTCCGCAGAGCGCTGTTTTAAAAGTTGGGGAGAAGCCCGACGGTTTGGAGTTCCTGGTTGCGCACAGCGTCTTTCCTCTCTGGAGGGAGGAATTGCGAAAAGAAAAAAAACCAATCAAACAGAAATCTTTCATTTGTAACTAAAAATCTCAAGAGTTGCCTGGTACAAATAGGCTCGGTGCATATTTTAATACAGAACTAAGAGAAGAGGACATTTGGCGCTTGGCCTCATCTCAACCATCCGCCGGCTTCAAAGAGACGTAAGATTGGTCTCTGGGGAATAAAGGGAAGCGTGGGATGGCAGTTTTCAAGGGAAGTTAAGTCTAGACATGCTTCTCTGAAAGCGACAAGGCGGAAGTTCTGTCAAAAGCAGAATTTAAAAGAAAAAACACCGTGAGCTTGTCCCTCGCTCTTATTGGCGTGTAAATTCCCCCTGAAAAATCACATGGAAAAGGGTCATGTGACAGAAGTCTATGGAAAAAAGCCTTTGAGGGACATTTCGGAACTGTTGACAGGGGTCTCATATTCAGTGCTCACCAATAGGGGGGACGTGCTCGCTCCCGGGCGCCCTATTCCCAGGTGCTCATCGAAGAGGAGGCCCCTCTGTGCCAAGTGGGTCACCTTTGGGCGTCCCTCTACAGTCGGTAAAGGTGACGGGACAGGCCAGCTTCCCTCTCGAGCCGGGTTCATTCAGATGCCCGGGAAACTCCTCTGGGGTCCCGGGGCGCGCGGACCACCGCACCCGCCGGGGAGGCCAGGCAAGGTTTGAGGCGGGGGAATGCCAAGCTGTCTGGAGACCAGACGGTGGCGCCCTGGGGGCCACTCACCCGCCTTCGCCCTCTGGGGCGCAACGGGGCTCTCGGAGGGCGGCGCAGCTCCGGGCGCACGGCTGCGGGCTCTCGGACCCCGCGGATCGCGTGCCGGGCGGGGCGAGGGGAGGAAGCGCGGTTGGGGGCACGTGACTTAGACACCCCCCCCCCCCCCCGTAACTAAGTTCTGTTTGCTTCCACCCGCACAGGCGGCTGCCTAGGCTCCCACCCCGCAGACCGCCCGCCCCGCCGGGAGAGCGGGCCCTTCCCCACCCGCCGCGCCCCGGACCCCCGGCCGGCCGGCCATGGCCGACAGCGGCGGCACGGGCAGCTCCGGGCCCTGGTGGAAATCGCTAACCAGCAGCAGGAAGAAAAGCAAGGAAGCCGCGGTAGGGGCGCAGCCTCCCGCGCAAGCCGCCCCCGGGGAGCCCGCGCCGCCCGCGCCGCCCGCGCCGCCCGCGCCGCCCAGCCCGGACTGGACTAGCAGCTCCCGGGAGAATCAGCACCCCAATCTCCTCGGGGGGACCGGCGAGACCCACAAGCCAGACAAGTTGTGCGGGGAGAAATCGGGCTGCAGCCGCCGCAATTTGAAGATCTCGCGCTCCGGCCGCTTTAAAGAGAAGAGGAAAGTGCGCGCCACTCTGCTCCCTGAAGGAGTCAGGTCCCCGGAGGAGGCGGACTTCCCTGGCGACCCGCACGGCGACACGCAATAGCCAGAGCGCTCCAGGACTGTGTCTCTTCCCACCACTCCCCCCTACCCCCAGTTCCAAACCCGAGATTTCTGGCCCGCCCCAATACCCGGTGTCTCATCCCAACTTGAGAGTATTCACACAAGGCCTCCACGATTTTATTTTCCTGGAAATCGAAGTGTCCACTGAGTTTTCAATATTTCATGACTCAAGGAGTCATTGAGTATTTATCTGTGCTAAGAGAAGATACCTGCCACGGAGGAAGTTGGCATAATTATTTTTTTCCCGAAAAGTTCTCCCGTGGCCTCCACCCCTTGTGCCACCTGGGGAGTGAGAAGGGTACTTCTCTGAGTTGGTATCCCAGCTGGGACTGCACAGCCCCTCAAATGAGGAGGCCGTGCTCTGATTCAGGACTTGCTATTGGAAAGCAAATTAACGCCAGAGAAATGCACTTTAGACGTACTTCAGTAGACTCAGACCTTAAGTGAAGGGACAAGAGAGGGCAGGAAACTTTAGGTAGAAGCATTTTTAAGTAAGGCACGATTGCTTTTGATGTTGAACTACAAAACCGTACTGCCTATTTTAGTGTGGACTATTAAAATTGTTGCACTGTAAAACTTAAGGTGACTTTTGTGTTTTTTCCATTGCAAGACTGAAGTCCATCATACTTAAAAGCAGGCATGCAAAAGCCAAAGTGACAGAGTTAATCATTTGCCACACAACCTAACAGCTACTCTCGGCAAGCTACAGGGAGGCGAACATTTCTGAAAACCATTAACACCCAGGCTGGAACCAGTTGACCCAATATCTCTATTTACTAACTAAATTTGAGGAAGGGAAGGAGCAGTACTAAATAGTTACCCCTAAATTCTCTTTGTTACTTCATACAGTAGAGTAGCTCACAACGCCAGTAATAATTCTTTTTACTGTCCATCGTTAACCTTACTAACCATTGTCTGAAAACACTTACTCAGATGGACTGAACTCTTCGTTTGTGCAAAGCTCACTTCTTTTCCCACCCCTTTGCTTCAGAAGCTTATTTCTTTAGTCTGACTTATGCATTTATCTGGTTTCAAAGCCTTTAGGTGTACTAATCTGAAGATTCTGAACAAAAATCTACCTGTTTGCTTTTGTTATGAACTTCAAGAAAAGGAGTAAATGAATACCACTTGCTTTCAGCAAATTACAAGAGAGTTATTGTAGTTGTTAAGGGCCACTGGGATCATTCCCACCACAATTCAGTTCATTTATAACAATCCAGAAATACATAGCAAGGAAATTGTAGTGGTCAAAGTATGTATGTGTATATGTGTGTGTAAAGATATATGTGTATATATATATATGTAATTATCTAAACCATATATATATATGGTTTAGATAATTATAAGCAAGAACTTGATTGGAGCTTCTGAATGTATTATATAGAAAGGGGCAGGTTTTTGTTTCTCTCAAATTTATAAATTTATAAATTTATAAAATAGCAAAACGTTCTTTGGCTGAAGAGATTGAACAAAGAAACTTGATGAAAATAGTTAAAATGGACTTAAATTAGTGAATTAAGTTTGGGTACCAGCACAATAATAGAGTTTACCATTTGATACATGATTTCCACATACCAAAGGCTTAATCCAAAGGAACCTGTTCATATGAGGATTATGAACTATGAACACCTTACGTTAAAAGAGAAAATATATGAGCTTTTTTTTTTTTTTTTTAAATCATGAAAAGACTTATTTTTGTTGTGTATTTAGAACTGGGAATATGTGACCAAAGTCTCATCAGTGTGAGCTTCCAGGATGAGGAAGACTTTATATTTAGTTTTAAGTGGGCCTCCCATCTTTAGACTCTGATGAAGAAGAGGGAGAGGAGAACATGCTGGAGAAGTTCATGGTAAGGAAGGGACTGCGGCCTGGAAGATCACCAGGAGTAAAGCAAGCAGAAGCTGCCAAATAAGGCTTTGGAACACCTTCATAAGGCATTTTGATTCCACTTTGTAGAAAGTAATCAAAATCAGGGTGGATAACTACCCACAATAATTTTCCCCTCCCCTCCCAGGAGGACCAATAGATTAGGACTGTACCCATTTACAAAATCAAGCCTGCAATTGCATAATTTTAAAATTTTACACTAACTCTTTCATTCATGGTTTTATTGTTTTAGAAAACATTTTTTTTTTCTTAAAAATTCCTTTCAATTCACAAAGCATTGGCATTTTCCCAGGTTCTATATCTTGTTTGGGGGGATCGCATCCAAGTCTATAATTGCTGCAGATAATCCATAGCAGACATATAGCAGTGGAACTTATTCATATGACATCTTTACCTCACTGTTCTGGAAGAATTGAAAACCATGCTAATGGCAATTATGACAGAGAGTGCAATACACAATCTGCAATTGAGGTTTGTAATTACACCGTTTTAAAGCAGTCCTAATTATGCAGTGGGAGGAAAGCACTGATTTAATCCCAACTCAGTGAAATCAGAAACCAAGCAAAATTGGTGGGATGAAAAGATCATGGGTAGGATGAGATAATTTGACAGTGTCTTGCTGGGATTTATACGCTTTACAGATGATTAATTACATTCTCATACTATGTATACAGATTTAAGTTTTTTAAACCTCAAGATAATTTATAGTAAATCAAGGGAAAGTGTTGAATTAAATTTGGAGTTAATTAGATTAGAGACTTTTGCTTAAACCGACTTACAAATGAAATTTCACCCACAAGTTTGGAAACCATTAAAGAAATTTTAATACCATGCTTCCAAATGATATGGGGAGAAACAGGACAAAAATCTAGGTGTGTGTTGGCTAAATGCTTTTATAACCATGATAATTATATACACAGGGTAGTTTTCGCTTCTGTGTCTCTTCTTGCTGAGCAGTGACTCGTATCACAGTCACCTGAACGTCCCTTTTTGTTCATACTGCCGTTGTTCACATTGTTCATCCCATTGTGATTTGCATTTCAAGAGCAGAGACTCTGTTTTGTGCATGCAGTTAGGACATTCTGCTTCAGTATAACACTGGGAAGTACTTTTTGTGCTTTGAAATATAATGTGAACTCAGCAAGCCTGATATTGCCACATCCTTAGAAAGAAACTATAAACCTAATGAACAGTAACACTGGCTAAAGCTTTGTCAGAAATAGTTCTCCTGAGGGATGCCTGGGTGGCTCAGTTGATTAAGTGTCTGCCTCCCGCTTGGGTCATGATCCCAGGGTCCTGGGATCGAGTCCCAAGTTGGGCTCCCTGCTCAGAGGGGAGCCTGCTTCTCCATCTGCCTGTCACTTCCCCTGCTTGTGTGTACTCTCTCTCTCTCTCTGACAAATTAATAAAATCTATAAAAGAAATAGTTCTTCCAAGTTGCTCAGAGGAAAATTTCGGTGCCTTCAAATAAACAAATAATAAAAATGAGCAGAAAGAATTTCAAATAAAAAGTGAATCAGAAAGGAATAAGTAGAAGAGTGGGATAATAATATCCAGTGACCACAGGACACTTTTTATGAGGAAAAGAGAGAAAGAGTATTATTTTCCCTAGCTGAGTCAGGTCAGCCAGACATCAGAAACTAACACACAAAAAGCTGGCCTGATAGATACAGCAAAGGAAACTAATCTTTTAAAAGTCTATTTGATTCATGGAGCATTTTATTATAATCATACAGAAATATAGGAGATTCTTTCTTGGGAATAAGCTCAAGTTTATCTCCATGGCGAGAAGAAAGTGGGACAAGAGATATTTTATACCATTTGATTATCAACATACAAGTACCTGAGACTAGAAACAAGTATGCAGCCCCGGGCAAACTTTGTCATTGATAAGCCGGCTGTCCATTAGGCATCATTCTTCTCAGCTCTTCTCTGTAGTCCCCCACCCCATACTCTCTTTGCCTCCCAGCCATTGCACGTGCATTCCAGTTAGGCTGGGGGTCATAGAAGAGGGGGTGCCAGGAGGTATAGGGCCTTCTCCGGCCACCTGCAGGCACACCATGTAGACACAGCCACTTTGTCAAAAGATGGCCCTGCTGTTTGGGAATATGGGAAAGATAGCATTCATGATGAGAGAAGATTATTACTAAGGAGATAGGATATAAGGAAACAAAGCAGGCATTCCCTAGCAGAGGACAGCTGACCATTTGTATAGAAATGGGAACAGTTATAGACCACAATAAATAAGACAGAGGACATAAGCGATCCTTCCACGTATTCAAGCCAAGGAATTCAGCCCTACTTCCAAACGGAATTGTGCTACAGACAACAAAATCATGGACCGGTCATTACCATGTCAGAGTTGTTGGAAAACCTCATGCGGTAAAAAAGACTCATGAGGAAGTGGTTTTATCTGAGATGTGTAACAAGATTATTACCCATGAGACAGAAATTTCTGGCCCTAAAACTAGAGAGAATCATGTTGAAGAAGCTGAAGGTCTCTGTCCATGAGAGGAGCCACTGATTGACCTGTCTGTTAAGTAGGGAATAGGGGGCCCATCTCGGACCCCCTCATGCCCTTTTTGAAGGGATTTTCCTTGAGTTAAAATGCCCTGGATTATTAATTTCTTTCTAGTTCCAGTCCACAAGTATAACTGCTGATTCATACCCTACAAGAATGGCAGCAAAAAGTTCCCACACAGTTTTCCAACATAGTTGTCTCTCCGACTCGTTCTTGAGTCTTTGACAGTCTGATGTCAGTTTATTATTCTGTAAAATGATGGGATGGAGGCCATATTCCAGCTTTAAAACCCTCTGAGTATTCTGCTATTTTGAGCAGCTGGTTGTAAAACTAGTTCATATAATGCTCATTGTTTACTATAAAACACAAAGGCACCACCTGTTCAGTGCTGATGGTCAGGTGGGAGCCAGGGAGAATAATAAACGATGATAAGGCTACTGCCTCATGTCATCATCTGGCCCAGTAGTTGGGGTGATTCTGCTCTACAGGAACATCAAGGCTCAGTATCATGTTAGAATCAAATATTTAACAGTTTGTCCTGTTACCTCAGCTTAGCATATTCTTTGCCCACCACCTGCCTGGCAAAGCCTCAATCTACCTTCAAGATTCAAGAGTCTCCCTCAGGGTAACTGCCAGGGACCTCCTTCCCCCAAAACACAGCTCCTGGAACATCTGTGAGCCTGTGTTACCCACCACCGCTGACCATATTATGTGTATGTGATCATGTGTCTCTCTGTCCCTTAGTCAGGGAGCTCAGGGAGATTCAAGAGGCAATGCTTATTCTTCATTCCCCTGCGTGAACTCCTGGATTATCTACTAGGACATGGACCTCCGGGTAGGCAGCATGTGCAACTAGCATGTAGCTCTTGGTAGGGCCATAATTTTTTCTCCTCTAAGGAGGCAGGCTACGTCTGGCTGGTAGAGGAATATCTGAGGGTTGTGAATTGGTCAGGGTCTGATCAGGAGAGAGAAAACGGAGTGATTTGAACAGGGAGCATTTAATATAAAAAATTATTACCCATAACAGGGATGGCTAATAAGAAGTAATGAGAGATTGGCCAGTAAGGAGTAAAGAGAACCCCCAAAAATACAGGAATAAAGATAAAGGACAGCCACCACCTGGGAGCTGAGATAGATTGCTCTTGCCTCCAACCACCCCGACCCAACTGGAAAGGGTACCGCCATGAA